CACAGGGGTGATTTGGTGATGGGAAACCCGTGGGGATTACAATTGAGATGAAAAAATAATGTGCAAAATGATGTAAAAATAAACTTTTTAATAAAAAAAAAAAAAAGTAGCCTGAGTTCTAAGGTTACTTATACCCACTAATTGATTTTTGTGATCAGTTTAATAACTTTTAAGTTTGTCTAGACATATGATATGCATTTAAACAGTGTAATTTTGAAAGAAAAAAAAACTAAAGCAGAATTACTAGTATGGCATATAGATTGAAAGCAAAACTGACTTTTTTTAAAGCTGATTATCTAAGCTTTGAAAATCTAATGCTGGATATATTTTCAGAGTAGGTGGGTTTTCTTTATCACTGTAAATTGTAGCTAGCATGTGACCCTTCTTTATTTTTTAGTCTCTGTAAAATTGACTTTGGTTTACACCTAGATTTAAGTACCTTGTAGAGAGAAACAGAAGGCACAGCTCCTTTTTTCAGCTTTCTTCTTATACCATATGACTCAAAGTCACTTTCTTGAAAATGTTTGGAACATAGTATAGCACCTGGTCCTGGGATCCAAATCTTTTTGCTTCTGGGGTCCACACGATTAACAGCCCTGATCCATTTTGAGCGCTGTATGGTATCAGTTGGAAATCTATAGCAATCATATTAAAATTTCATTAATATGAAAATAAAATGGTAATATAAACATTAAAACCACTTAAATTTACTTAATCTGATGTCATTTTTTAAAGTTCTTTGATTTTTTTTTTATCCTGAAGTTTACTATCTATGCAATCTCATTTGTTCCAATTTGTATGGAAGCAAATTAAATATCCTATCCTGTTAAATATCCTACCATATTTTGTCTTCACTATCTATAATTAACAGAATCTGCTCAAATGTATAATGTGTCTTTTCCTTTCCTGTGGCAATTTTAAACAATGTCTATAAGTTGGTACTCCTCTTTTCAAGAGTGGAGCCTAATTTCTCTCCCTTGAGTATGAGCTGAGAAGTTAGTGATTTGCTTCTAAGGAATATATAAAAAAGCAGAAGTGAAAGAGGCAATGAGACTAGACCTTGAAAGGCATCTAGGCTTCCTCCTTACTCTCTCTATGGAATGGTATTCTCTGGGGGAGGTTACCTGCCAGAAGCAGCCATAAAGAGAAGGGCCATTTAGCAAGAAACTGAAGCCTCCAGCCAAAGGCCATTTGAGTGAGCCTTTTTGAAAGTAGATCCTTCAACCTCATCAAGCCATCAGGTCATTGCAATCCTGGCTAACATTTTACTGCAATCTGTATAGTCAATTAACCCATTCCTGAATTCTTGAACCTCACAAATTACATTAGATAACATTTCAAGGAAATTTATTATTCACCATTAGAAAACAAGTACATTTCCTGTATTTAATTTTCCTATTTTACTTTCTGAAAAGCACTGTTTTTTCCCTAGCCTTGAGTATAAAATTATCTTGCATTTGTTTCCCAATCCCAGCCAAATTATTAAATTTAGAAATGAATAAGGAAAAAAGGCTTGAGAAACTAATGCAATGAAAATCACAAAACTATTTGTTCTGCACCCTTTTATTCATCTTGGAGACAGATCTGTAGGTAGCTGTATGACTTTTACATGTTTTTAATTCAGACTTTTTTAACTTAAACTTTAAAGCATCACATTTGGTAGGAACTGAAACTGATGTAAGTTTTCACTTTTCTCAGTTGTCACAGAAACAAAACAGCAGTATAATAAAACAAGACTCTAAGATACTCTCTTAATCATCCTGGGGAAAAGAAAAGTGAATTGTAAAATTCACCTGTATCTGAACCTCAGTCATCAATATCTTTGTTCAGCCAGATAGCATTCCACAGATCTTTCACTCGTTGAGCCTCCTCACAAGGCTGCAGTAAGAGCACAGGAGGCAATAACTGCATTCAATAGCACTATGTAACTTGTAAAACACGATCTAAAGTTTGTTTTGTCTAAGAACAAATCATTCCACTTCCAGGCCTTTCTTTTTATTTGTTGTTCCAGAAATATGATGGTGCTACATGATCAAGAAAGAATATATATGAATTATTTTATCCAAAAGGTGAGCCAAATCTATTTCTTTTCACTGGGCTCTCTCCTTAGCTAAAGGTTTGTTAAGAACCTTTTCCACCTAGTGGCTATAGTCTAACTATGTATGCCAAGGACACCAAAGGTTGGCTAGTCCAGCAAGTCACATTACTAGCCTGATCCTCACGGATCCTCAAAACTTTTCAACTGGCATGTCTACAAGTACAGCTTAGCAAACTCCTCAGTCCATGGGGGTGAAGTGGGCTACCTGGAGCCCTAAAATAGTTACAGCAAGCCATTCCCAAACGACTTTCTTGGTTTACCCCAACATTTTAAATAAATATTTTCTAAGACTAAAATAAGAATTATTTTATTATAAACAAGATTATAATTAGTCTCACTAATTTGACATCTGGACAAAATTTAAAATGGTAATAACTGACACTGCTTTTAAAACATTTACTTTCTACTACATATATGTCTGAAAAATTTAGTTTGTCTCTAAAACCTTTATAAGGGATGTTTTTATCTTTTTTACCCTACTGTTTTATTTAGGAAATAAATATCTACTGGTACAAGAGTAGGTACCAGTAGATAGTGGAAATCAGAACTCATGTTCCCCAGTCTAAAGCTACTTCTGAAAAAGCTACTTTAGAAATTTTGAAAATTTTCAAATCAACCACCACTCCATATACCCAGCAATGAATTAATTTACACTCTAATACAGAACTCAAGTTCCTTCCCTGGTGGAACTCTGGTGGACTCTGCCATTTTTCAAACGATAGGCAGGAATTTACCTTTTGATCCCTGCACATCAAGTATTTTCCAGAAAAGCAAATTAACAAAACTGCTGGGATTTCATTACCACAGAAGGGTAAACTGTCACGATACCTGTAACTTCTAAAGAAAACAGAAATCTGAAACCAGGCAAAATGTTAACACTTGCTTAATCCTAGTGCTGGGTACACAGCTATTTGTTAAGTATTATATTTTACCTGTTAGCGTGTTCGAAATGTTTCATAAGTGTTTAAATATAGAATACATTACAACAATTCAGGCAAAACCCTTTCCAGACTATTTTATATACACATACAAATATATATAGCTTTGGTAATACATTTCTTAATCTTTTTATACCAACAATAAGAAAATTAATCAACAGATCACTTTAATTTTTAACATGTAGTTCCACTTCACATTTAGCCACTTTTATGCATCTGGACAGAACACCAACATTCTTGAAATAATAGTTTTCACACCTTTGAGTCATTTTATTTCTTGTTTTTCACCAGAGCTCCCTTTTTATATCTTGTAGCTTCTTTTGAAATTCTGGTGATTGTGTTGGGGGGGGTATTGGGGGAAGGTTTCATAGATACTATTAAAGCTAGAACTGATGTGTCAATAGGGTTATGTGACGCAGACAGTGGCCACTCAAGTCACATGCAAAAATACACAAATATAAAATAGCCATTTGCATCTTACTGGCTGTTAAAGCACTGAACAGCATTTGGAGGCTAAAGAGGGTTGGGAGTACAGAGATAGCTAGGACCTATTACAGAAGGGCTGGAAAGGAAACTAGAGGTCAGATCACAAAGGACCTTATCTGCTAATAAGCTTTGGAGCCCCCTTCAGGGTGACTGGCCACCACAGAAGGCTGTACTCATCTCCTGAGATATAGCGAAAAAAAAATTTGATTTTTATTTTTATAATTTAGTTTGTCTCTAAAACCTCTATAAGGGAGGTTTTTATCTTTTTTACCCTACTGTTTTATTTAGGAAATAATTATCTACTGGTATAAGAGTAGGTACCGGTAGATCGTGGAAATCAGAACTCATATTTCCCCAGTCTAAAGCTACCTCTGAAAGCTACCATCCTTTGTTTTATAGAATAGTTGTCCCTTTGTATCCTGAGAGGGATTGGTTCTAGGATCCCACTTATACTAATATTTGTGAGGCTTAAGTCCCTAATATAAAATGTGGTTATTTGCATATACCTTATGTACATCTTGTATTTTAGATCATGCATAATATCTAATACAATGCAAATGGTGTATAGATAGTTGTTACATTGTTTTACTTAGGGAATGATGACAAGGGAAAAAGTCTGTACATGTTTTGTACAGGTGCAACTATCATAGGCATAACTATATAGTACATATTTTTCCAGGTTAGTTAAACCTGCAGATGTAGAGTTCTAGACAATTGTGGACTGACTGTATCTATCATTACACTACTTGTATATGTAATTTATAAAATACTGTGCACATATCAAATTGTACTTAAATTTCTTTATGGAGAGTTCCATAATCAAAAAATTTGAAGATGGCAGCCTCAGGCAGTAAGTTTACTAATCCTCTCCTTCCCATATAAACTTTTCAGTGAGTCCTTACTTCAGATGGGTATAGTTTTGTTAGGTCTCACAAGATCCTAAATTCCTTTTCCTGTCTCTAGTCCCTCCTGTTGCTCTTATAAACTTCTGGCTGTCAAGTGGAAAAAGATGATTCCCTCCCATTCACATGAAAGTGTTTGTTCTATGTTCAACAGTACAAATAGGGAAAGTAATTCAGGTTGGAAGAGCCGTATATGAGAGCCTTCACAGAGGAGCCTGGACTCATTTAATAGTCACTAAAGAGCCCAAGGGATTAAATTTCCCTCTTGGGGGACCACCAAAATAAAATGTGCATTTTTAGAAAAATGACTTCCAGGAATCTGGAAAATGGAATGAATGGGGAAGAAAAGAAGCTAAAAGTGCAATAGCAGACTACAGTAATAATAGCACCACTTTCTTTTCCATTAAAATCTAACTTTGGTCCTTAATATATGAAAAACAAATGATTTCAATGAGTTCTTCCTTATTTAAGGAACCTAGAAAGAAGGTAGGAGAGAAGTAAGGCATCAAAAAGCTAAATAAGTTAGAGAAACAAAGAGGGAGAGTGTGTCAAAGCCAAGGGAAGTGAGAGTTTCAAGCAGTCCATAGGATTAAGAGTTTAAAAGAAGTCAAGAGGGCTAAGAAGGGCCACTTGGATTTGCAAGATTACCGGTGACCCTTGTCGATGCTGTTTCTTTAAAGCATTGGTGTCAGACATTTGGAAATAGCAGGTTGAAGAATTAACAGGCCTTAGGGAAGTTGTATGCTCCAGTTTTGAGGAGCCTGGCTATACATGGAAGGAAACAGAAGGTTGTAAAATGAAAAGGGACAGGCTCAAGGGTTTGTGTCTATGTCTAAAAATGGAAGTAGTTAAGCATGTTCAGGATTTCCTAGTTACTTTAGGAAAGTAATTAGTAGTTTAAAATAAAAAAGGAAAGGGAACAACTGAGGGGGGAATGGCAGGGGAGAAGGACACATTTATAACAGCTTAGATGGTGGCATCAACCCTATTTAAAAATAAGAACAACTATAGAAAAGTCAACCAAACACAGCTGAGAGTTTGACATTTTAACTTTCAAAAATAATTTGTGTCCAAGCTACTTTCTCCACTCTGCACTTTCTATCTTTTCACATTTTCCCACACTATTCCTATTTAATTGAAAGCTTCTTCCACCCTACCTGCCCAATACAGCTAACATTCAAGGTCCAATTCATTTTTCCTCTGTATTTCACTTTTTTTTTTTTTTTTTGCTGTTAGGATCTGTTTCACTTACTTTTCCACTTACATTATGCCTTGAACATTGACTGGAAAGACTTGTAGCAATGTGGAACATAAATGTGGGTTCAAGTTAGCTAGGACTGACAATCTGCCCCAATCAAATGAACCTGCCCTGCCATGATCAAATCCAGCCCAACCGGACAGGGCTTGGTAGAGCTCAGCTAATACTACTCAACACCTTGCAAGATAGAGAGCAGTGGTGAAAGCTGATCTATACTCTTGCTCCAGCTCTACAGCACGGAAGGGAAGAGCAAGCCTTCCAGAACTCTCCCAAACTGCGCTTCTTACTCCTCAAATATTAAGACCACCTAGAGAAGCAAGAACTTTCGGGTACCTCTGGCCCAAAGTCACTAAGCAAGAGTTAGGCAACAAGAAAAGAATCAGCAATTTGGTGGTAAACACTGACAGCGAGGAGCATAAAAAAAGCCTCCACTCTCCAAGTTCACGACTACCCTTTCCCCGCCTCGCATTACGCACGTCGCGTCGACCGCGCGACGGCCTCTCCGGCCCCGCCCCACCCTGGCCTACTGCCAGCTTGGCTATGCATGGAGGTAGACGTCGCGTAGGCTGCTCTCACGCACTGGTGGAAGGAGAGGCCGCGCTCCCGGCTCAGCACGGTGTCCCGGGTGCTGCAGCCCACTGCTGAGCAACTGCGGGTCATCTTGTTACGTGGGGCTCCACTTTCGGTGCTCGCGAGACAGCATGAATCACGATAAACTTAGCTCCGCCCGTTGACTCGGCAACCACGACCTTTATTTGTCGGGGAAGGCGGGCTTTTAAGGCGCAGGGCTCCCTCCCTCCCTTTCCTTGGGCGTGGCGTTTGACGCCGTGACCAATCACAGATCACGTCGAGCTGTCGAAGCCAATCAGGGAGTCTCGGGGCACTACGCCTCGGACTACGCTGTTTCTCCCTCACTGCTCAAGGGTGGTTAGTGCGTTTTGCTGCGAGGGACTCATTTTCCTGCTGTTTTCACCCAGTCTGGTTATATCCGCTGCCATCGTGCTTTTTATGAATCGGAGCCTAACAATGCGAAGTAAAAAGGCAAAACCAAAGTTAAATGAGAATCCAGCTGCGAGCTCTGAAAGTGTCAAGAGGATGTGATAGAAGGAAGGTATCTGAAGAAGTGGGATAAACGCGGTGCCCTAGAAATGTGGAAGATAAAATTGGGTCACAAAATAACTTATTTACTGAAAGCATGTCACGCAGAGATTCTGTAAGAGGGGATGGTATGGTTGCCGGCGGGTTTGTGACCCCAGAGGGTGAATGATAGCTTCAATGGGGTACGTCGTCTTTTCATTCAGAAAACCTTTTCCTGCGAAACCCCGGAGAATTAAGAGGGAAATAAGGGAAGGGCTTTGGGGTCCTCGGGGAATCTCATGACCTTGTCGGAACTAGTCATTGGCGATTATAGAACAAGAGGAAGGACAGTGAATTGGTTTTGTTTGGGACTTGGGGCATCCTGGATAGCTTTCAAATGTGAGACGATCTTAGAACCATGCCTTTGTTTTCAGTTTTCATAGACGAAACAATGCTTCATCCTTAACGTTCGGGGACCATTGTAATAAATAGAAATGTCTGTAGTTTTTCTTTCTTTCTCTAGCTCTCAACGATGCCAGTATTTCCAAGAAAAATGCTTCATTTTCTCCTTCATCTTGTTCAAATTCCAGCCAAGACTCATTTCAAGGTATTACTTATTCAACACCTGCTTTCACTGTAATGTATTAACATCTTATTGAAATGAAAATAACAGTTTTTGCTTTTTTTTTAACCTTCCTTAACAGAGTGTCTTCCCATGAGTTTTGGAAAAATTGGTTCATGGGGGTTGTGCTTGTAAGGCTTTATGGATTTAAACCATTATCAGTTGATAGAGTAAACCTCCTTTAGTACTCAACCAATTAAGATCAGAACGAAATGAAATTAAAATAAGTAACAGTTTGTGGGCAAACTTTTGTATACATAAGAATGCAAATTCTAAGCCACATACCAACTCCTGTGGGTAATCTCTTGGAGTACCAGATTCTTTCCAAAGTGGCTATGCCATTTTATATCCCCCTGATCAGTGGATGAGGGTTCCACTTTCTCCACATTCTCCTGGGTGTGAAATGGCATTGTGGTTGCTTTATTTTTCAGGACTCAGAGTCTGTAGTGAACATGCTAAATAGGGTACACTTTTGAGTGCATTGACATTGTCCAAGGTGAATTTTTCTTCTCATTCCTTTACCCACAAATACTTAACATTTTCTTAGCAAAATTGTAGATTTGAAAGAAGTAAGCCTATGGGTAAGATGGGTGTTATGATTTGACATTTTGGTGAGGTGTTCGATTCAGAGAATGATTTAGCTCTGAGAAATGTTTCACCAAAGCTCCCAGCAGGTAAAGGTTACATTTTTTTTTTTTAAGATTTATTTATTTGTACAGAACTGGGGTACAGCCCAGAGATGCGGAGGGTGAGAGAATTCACCAGAGACAGAACGGGGAGCAGAACAGGCAGATCGACGAAGTACACTGCTGAGGGGAGCAGCGAGCGGGTCAGGAGAGGTCTGCCACGCCATGTGGTCGCCTCCGGGGCAGGCGGGAATCGAACTCATGCGGAAGTGGCTTAAGCTTCTTAGTGCTGTGCTTTAACCCGCTGCGCCAGCAGGGAGGACCAAAGGTTACATTTTAAAAGGACAATTTATTAGGAAAAGTCGAAAGAAGAGATGAACCTGCATATTCACAGATGGGCAGGAGAGCTACGTTTGCCAGTGCAGAAATTGTACTGATACAATTTTTTGGGAGGGGTTTATTCCTTTGTGGAATTGTTATCTATTAATTATTGTTAAATTAATTACTTGTAGTGTATGACTTGGTAAAACTGATGGTTCTCTCTGGCCTTCTGTCTCATTTCCCCACCTGTGGTCTGCATTTGCTCCGGCAGTTGGAGCTTAAGTACTTGTTTTGTTGTATTGGTTTAACAACTGTGCTTGTCATTTCTTCCCCTACCTCTAGTTTCTGGTCTTGTGATGCCTCCCTTCTCTCCATTCCATATTTTTTGCTGTTCGTCTCCATCATATTGACTGCTCAGAATCTTTGCAGTTTTATAATTTCTAAAGTAAAAGTGGTTAGTATCCCTTTCGATTTTAGTTACCTTTAAATGGTCCCTGCCTGTCTGGGGGGTGTATTAAATGCTAGATATTTCTTATTAAAGTGGCTCTCGTGACTTCATGGACTGCTGTTAGAATGGATTCAGAGGTGGTGTAACCTGCTGAGAGCCTTAAAGAGGTGAATGTATTTGGGAAGGGAGTTCCAAGTACAGGCACTTACTTTTATCTTTCTTATGGTACAGTTGAACATTCTCTTACTGCCAATTCAGTAAGGAGAAAAAGCAAGCTTTTTTCTTTTTCTGTTTCATTGGCATCTAGATATTAGAGCTGTCCTAAGAAAGCTGATACAATGTGGTTCTCATTTTGATGGCATTTTTCTAGTTATTAATTACAAGTATCTTACTGAGAACTGTTCAGCAAAAAAGATTTACTTAAAATGTTGTAGGCTGGTTGAATGAAAATTACTGAAGCCCCTAGGCCTTCTTAATATTCTTCTAGAGAGAGAAGTAGGTATTCCCTTACAAATGGAACCATTTTTTTAAGTTTTAGTTATGTGTCTGTATTTGTCTATAACTCTCGTATGTTTTTTTCATGTTGCTATTTTTATTGTTTTTCTGATAAAATTGAGGTTCTTGGTTTGGTCATTTGATTATATCCTTGCTTTCTTGAATAACTTCATATCCAGTGATTAAAACTTTTCACTGCTGTTCACATAATGAACTGCTGTGATTATTAAATATGTAAATGAGGATATGTAAGCTGTATTAAAGATGTTGTATGCAAAATGTTTTGACCATTACATAAAATTTTTAAAAATCTCTTTTAAGCACAGCATTCTTGGCGATGTTGGGAAAAGATTCCTGGGTCTTGGAAGATAACACTCAAAATCTACAGGGTAGGTAGTATCTCTTTCTGTTTTAAATATATTACATGTTCCTAGAATGATTATTACATATTCCTAGGATGATAGCAGTTAATTTGAAATTGATTATCCACATAAAAAATGAATTTATAAGACTAGTGAAATCTACTTTTTTTAAAAAAAAGGTTTGTTTTGTTTGTTTTATTTACTTATGCATTCAGGAACTGGGGTATAGGCCAGAGTTGAGGAATGAGAGGATTCACCAGATACAGAGTGGGGAGCAGAACAGGTAAATTGACTGAAATACACTGCTGAGGGGTGTAGTGGGCAAGACTTCTGCTGCACCATGTGGGTTAGCTCCTTGGCCAGGGATTGAACTCTGCTGCAGTGACTACTGATAGCTCTATAGTGTTGAGACTTAACCCCTTGTACCACCAGAGAGGCCCCCTCCAATTTTTAAGATGTATTTGTTTATGCATAAAAGAATTGGGATCTAAGCCAGAGTTGCAGGGGGGTGAGTGGGGGGAGGCAAGAGGAATCATCTGAAATAGAATGGGGAACAGAGATACTGACATACATTGCTGAGGGGAACAGTGGATGAGACAGGACAGGTCTACTGTATTGTGTGGACCAGCTCCCTGGCCAGGGGTTGAACTTGTGCTGCAGTGGCGTTGATAGCTTGATAGTGCAGAGACTTTTATCCCTGTGCCAGCTGGGAGGCCCAGGGAATGTTTTACTTTTTTTATAGTATAGAATCTCAATAATTGGTCACTTGGGGGTGGCCAGCTAATGTCTACTGAATAGTTATTTGGCGGGGAGCTATTGAATAGTTAAATGCTAGAAATCATCACACACAGTTTTTGGTTTAACTAGTTTTCTCGCAACCAATCCTATGAAAGCAAATAAACTCAGCTTTCCAGAATTGATATTGTCCTTGTGGTGTCCCTGCCCTTTTGTCACATTCTTACTCTGCTAGAACCTTTGTTATCCTGATACAATGAAATGTATTTGTAATAAAATATCAAGAATAATAGTAAAATTAAAAATACAAAGATCTACTACAATGCATGTGCAAAACTGATTCAATCTTGCTGAAATGTTCATCCTTTGGGTTCTTTTTTATTGTACTTCAGAAAGTGTTTGGTGTTTTGGAAATTATTGGTGACAAAAGGGAAGTTTTGAATTTTTCCCCTAAAATTTAACAAATTAAGGAAAACTTAATAGTTTAAAATAAGTCACTTAACAGTGGTGTAAGAGAAGGACATTGATTTATGGGAGATTTCAGCTCTTCACCATGTGAACCCCCTCTCCATAGGCTGCCTGAGTGCCACGCAACATAACATCTGGCGTTCTTGAGAGGGAATGCTCCATGCAAGAAAGGACAAGATGGAAGCTTGTCTTTTAAGGTTAGTATTGAAAGTGACATAGCATCACTTCTAACCTGTTCTGTTGGCTGCAGAGATCTTTCTTTGTACCCTGTAGGTTGGAATTATGTAAGGGTGTGAATACCAAGAGGTGGGGGAATCACTGGGGACCAACTTGGAGACTGGCTACCATGCCATTTAAGTACTTTTTTTTTTTAATTTGAAGATTAAGTTTATTAGAAATAGACAGGAGAGGAAAAGACACTTACATAGACACAAGCGGGCAGAAAGAGCTGCCCCAGAAGGGACAGGTTTGCAGAGAGAGAGACCTGCACGGTTGCAGGCAGGCAGCTTTTGGAGAGCAGCCTTGGCTGAGAGAGGTCAGTGCAGAAAAGTCTCAGCGTGGTCAAGGGCAGGCAGGAGGCTGCTGCCCTGCAGGGGGAGAAAGTGGGTGGAAAGAAGCCCCTGCAAAGGCGCAGGTGGGCAGAGGAGCGGCTCCGTTTAAGTACATTTTTAACAGTTGCATTTGCTGAATCAAGGGATTGAGTAATTGCCCCCACAGGTCAAACAACTAGAACTAGAAAAGCATATATATCCAAATAACTGCTTTTTTCTAAGGTCACAGTTTTGTCCTGTATGTATATAAATTATTTAAAGGATGCTGCAGATACTTCATTTGGAAATTTTCTAGAATTTTACAAGAAAATAAGTCATAATTGAGTGTCCCTTCCCCTCGTATTCTTGGGGTTCAGATTGATTTGAAAACGTTGAACTTTGTATTTAGTATTTGAAAGAATGTAGTCCAGTTACTTACAGGTAGGGGTGCAGATTGATTTAAAAAAGTTGAACTTTGTATTTAGTATTTGAAGGAATGTAGTCCACTTACTTACAGGTAGTTGCACAAACATTTGATAGAGGATAAAGTTGAAAATATGCAGCAACAGCATAAAGTAGTTTGCTCTTTTCTCAAAAACATGATTTTTATCCAATATGGTGAATATAGTTTCTTTCTTCTCTGATTCAAGGCTTCTCTATATCTAAAATTTACAGCTAGCTGGTCAGGCAATCAGAATTTTCCTAAATGGCAGAATGCTAATTAATACCTGCAATTTATTATAAACTGGTGGTTTCTTTCTCATCACTGTTCAAAAGTGTGATGGCAGAGACAGTATTCCCCTTTTTCCTTTAAAGTTTTAGTGCTTGTGATAGAAATCTTACCTGATGACAAGCACCACATGTAAAGCAAGCCATAACTAGTTTTGAAATAGATACTAAGATATGGTTACCATTTTCATATTGGGTTTGATGCTAAAGAAGATACATCCAAGTTCCCATAAGGTAATCTTTACAAAGTAGACAAATGATATACTTGAAGTTTTTCTTAAGAGTTTTTCCTAATCATAGTAAAATTAGAGTTCTTGTCTATCCTGCATGAGAGAATTGAAATTTATAGAAATGTGTATTTCTTATGTTTTATTGAAAGGTTAAAATATTATGACTAGAGCTTCAATGGAAAATAAGGAAGTATAAATGTCCAATGATTAAACTTTTCCACTGCTGTTCACATCATGATTTGTTGTGATTAATGTATGTGGATGAGGACATAGATAAAGAAAGTCATACGGATTATATATTTGATGTTTTTACACACTGATTTGTCTGTAAATATTTTTCCTTTAGGAATAAAAATTACAGGGTGCTTTTCTTTGAAAACATCGTCAGATTTATCTGATCAAGAATTCATACAAAATTCATCAAAGATTCATATGATATGGTAAGGAGTTCATAAATAGTATTAAAAATGCAAATAGGATATTACACTCAGTTTTTTTCTTCTCTCAGCTTGCAAAGATAACATGGTTTCAAAAGTAATTTTTCAAATAAATAGATTGATTCAGGATAGACAAATGGGGTGGGGAGGCAGGACTTTAACTTTTAGTAGTCAAGCTTTTCAGCTCCTTAAATTCTTAGAGATCACTTGTCTGTCAAAGTTTGCTGAGCTATTGGATATTCTATAGATGATTATTTGATATGTCAGTGGAGGACCATCATAATTTAAGCTTTGTTCAAAAAGGCACTTGATTAGAAGCTGGAATCTCAAATCTAATATTAGTTTTGTCTTTAATTAGGCATTTTGAGAAATACTAAGCGGACAAATTCTTATGACTACTTAATGTTGACGTAAGTTTTCTACTTAAATTTCTACAAACATAAAAGTTGATATAAGCTTCATGGATGGTCCTTTAACCTGAAGATTTATAGAATAAATGTATTTAAAAGTAATTTTAAAATGACTTTAATGGGATAGATGTTGTTTTGCAGTAATAAATATGTACTGGCTCCTGTCATATAAACTGAACACATGACAGCTTTGTTTCTTAACATGATAGTAATATTGAAAATCTGATCATCAGCAAAGCAGTCCAAACTTAACTCTTGCAGTGCTCAGGATATTTTAAATAAGGGGAAGGTACCTAAATTGTCAAAAAGATGTCTTTGGATTGCTAGCAAATTCCCATTTGAAGAATTCTACATTACGCTATCTCCAAAATCCTAATTCCAATAAGTAAGTCAGAGTCTTAGAATTATCATTCCTTTGAGCAAAATTTTAGTTTCTATTTGATCTAGGACTAGGCTTGGCTAGTTCTGAAATCTCTTTAAATTTGTCTTTTCTTTTTATATACAGGTAACCCTTACTTATTTTGCAGTTTCAATCTCATCAGATATAAATTTTCAGTTTTAATTTAACACCAGCCCCCCCACAACATAGTTGAAATTTCAATTACCATAACATTACTAAATTGTTGCTTCAACTTTGCTGCAAGCTCTTTAGGCCACAAAACACTTTGCCAATAAAAAGATGAACATTGTGATCAGTAATCAGTTACATCACTTTCAAAGTGTTGATTGGTTACTTAGCATCTGTTAGTTTGCCTACAAACAGTAAAACATGCTTGTATTGCTTCCTTGTCAATTAGTGATAACCCCATGTAACATTTTACAGATATGACTTGGGAATTGGTCAACAAAGATGACAGGTCTGCAGAAAATCAAAAAGTACAAAACTGGACAGTGAAATTGGATGTGGTGAGAAGATTTGAAAATGGTGAACAACAAAGCAAAGCTAGGAAGAGACCTCAACCTGCATGAAGCTATAGTACAAACCTTATTTTAAGTGTGGTGAATATAAAAAAACAAGATAAAGTTTAAATTGTACTAGGGACAGAAGACAGCTTATGGTTGAAATGGAGTATTTACTGCACTTGGGATTAATCAAAAATAAATCTCAATTTGACCAGCATTCAAGTCAAAGCATTCAAGTTAGTTGCTATGTTGAAGGAAAATGGTTATACAAGGAAAGTGAAAAAGAACATTTTACTGCTGATAAAGGCTGCATTCATCACTTCAGAAGTCAGTATGAATTGATTAATGTAAAGTTTGGTGAAATTGCAAGCTCAGATAAGGATGCTACAGTGAAATTTTCACTTAGATACAACAACTACAGGCAGTCTTACTTTTTGCATGTAAAAAAAATTTCCCAGGATTTAGGTGGATTGTAAATCAAGTTAAAGAAGATACATATAGGTGACCATGGAATGTTAACACTGCTGCCATTCAAGAAGCAGTTCTAGATAGGCAGTCAGAGAAATGTAATGAGAACAAACATGATGGTTGAGGAATGCATTTTATAATGGATGGACAAGTCAAAATGATGCTGGTGAAAAACTTCACATTATAGGGATTCTCCAAGGTATTTTCTGACATTGAAAGTGCAAGGATAAAGGGCCCTCTCAGGTGGCACAACAACATGTTAAAGCTTAGCACTAGGAAGGTAGTCACAGCTGCTTCAGTGAGTTAGATCCCTGGCTAGGTGGGTGACCCACATGGTACAGCAGACCTCTCCTGTTTCCCCTGCTGCTCCTCTCAGCAGTGTACTTCTGTTTACCTGTTTTACTCCCCACTCTGTCTCTGGTGAATTAGTTAACTGCCCCTGCACCTCTGGCCTGTACCCTAGTTCTGTACATCTTTACAAAAAGAAATAAAATAAATAAATCTTTACAAAAAGAAAGTGCAAGGATAAAATTCTGAAAGATGGTTAAGCCTTAGAAAGGAATGTGACAGTTTACCAAAGTATAGAAAAAATGCTCACTCCATGTTGTAAATTCAGAAGAAAGCAAGCACTGTTCAAATTTCTTGATTTTTTTATAAAGAAATAAAACAGTATGCTAATATTTCTATTGTTTCAAATATTGTTTTTACTATTTTTTACACTTACAATCAACACTGAGAGGACTTTTTAATATTTTCATGAATGTTAAAGTCACAGAACAATCAGATTATTAATTCCATAGGTTATACTGTTTTGCAATTGCAGCTGGCATAAAGCAAGGACTGCCTGCATTTGAAATAAGCTGGGAGTATAAGTCAAGTGTAGAATTGGCTGGATGTTAGCTTTATGATAACCCGTTATAATTAACATTTCATATTGCCTTTGTAGTATCTCAAGACCTCTAAATAAAAATTTACAATGAATGTCTCATGGTCAGACTGAGCATTAATCCATCTGTTGGCAGAATTCTATGGAATAGAATAGGGATTGGTAAATGTACCCTATGAAGGGCTATATATAGTAAGACTATATAGTGAGGCCTACATAGTAAATATGCCTTGCAGGTCATAATGTTTTCTAGCAACTCTTTAATTTTGCCTTGATACAAATAAAAACAGCACTAGGTAATATGTAAACCATTGAGCACTGATATATTCCTATAAAATTAGATGCTGAAATTTGTTTTATATAATTTTTTTCATATCATGAAATATTTTGCCATTCTTAACTCAGAAGCTACAAAGGGGTAGTATTTAGATGAAAAATAGGAATATATAGGCCATTGAATAATGTTTAATTTTGATGAGAAACCCAGCTGAGGTTTGATTTAAGGGTAATAGGGAACTAACTGGTTTCCTGTTTTCCTCAAGTTGCTATTTCCAAGAATAAAGACATTGAAGACTTAACAGTTTTATTATACAGTTGTATTAAATGTAGTCTAAAGAATGCAACCACTGTTTGAATCTTTGAGTTTTAATGAGCTGTTCATACTAGTGCCCAGATCTAGGCTGTTGGGGTTGGGGCAGTTGGCAGTTAGGGAGTTCGACATTTCCTGTTGACTCAAATCATGGTCCCACTTTTAAACTGGATTTTTATTAGTACCTCTGTATCAGCTGGTTCTTGAGCTAATAACTAAGAATGAAAGGCCTTTTAAAGACATAATTATTGTAGCCTAAACAATCAGTTGAGCTATTTAGTCCTTTAGAAATAAATTTGACTTTTAAATTCAACCACAATACTCAAAAGTGTATTGGAAAGAATGTAATGAATACAAAAATGTGCTTACTCTCTAGTACTTAGAGATACATTGTATTAATTTTTGTTTGTAAAAGGAAAAGAAACATCAGTGAAGGTGATTAGCAAAGGCTTCAGGAAAGAAGTGGGTGTTAAGGGACTTAACATAACTTACAGAAGTGAAGAGGTGGGTTTGGGTTGAATTCAGGTTTTCATACTTCCAACGAGTGGTTTTCCTGTCTTCCTTTGCTGCAAAATAATTCCTCCCTAACCTAGGAACTACTCCAGGCAACGCACCTAATTAGATGCCAGGCTTTGGAGAAACTGATAAAATTAAAGCGACTGATGAGAAATGCCATGAAATCGCAAATAAGCTATACTTCATCCCTATGCCACAACAAACAGCCTTTGGGTATGATCTGGTCTTTTCATTTGAAAGTTGTCAAAATGCAACCAAGTTGTGGAACCAAGTAAGCAATTTTAAGAAACCCAGTCTGTCTAGTGCTGATGTCTCAGGGGCTGCTGACATCATCGGTCTAGTGCTACGTGGCATTACTTTGGGTGACCGGTATTCCCCGGCCAGACAACTACACCCAGCAGAGCTTTTCCCTTTTCCGTAGACCTAGTTCATGGCTGCACTCCATGTGCAGCTGTTCAAGACAGCTTCCAGGGCTTGAAAATGCGCACAACGCACAAACGCGACCCACCATCCTTGGAGCGCGCTGGGCAGGAGGCGGCCGCTGCCCCCGGAAGTGCCTTGGCGGGTCTTGCGCCGGAGTGGGCGGGGCGAAGCGTCGCTCCCGGAAGCGTCAGCTGGCTGGGCGGGCGGGGCTGCGGCTGCCACGTTGGAACGGAACGTGGAGGTGGCCCTGGGCCGGGAGGAGGGGCGGTAGCGAATGCTGGGAGAGTCCGACTGGTGCCGCGCTAACGCAGGAACCGGTCGCCGAGAGTCCCCGCCAGGTACGTGTGCCTGTGCTCTCCTGTTCTCTCCGCTGCCCTTCGCACCTTGAGCTAGAGCCCCGGCAGAGCTGGGACTCCGACCGTGGTCTCCGTTGTCCCCGCCAGTCCGCGGCCCGGTCTCTGGTGGCGGCGCGCCCCTAGTCTACGTTTCAGGCCCAGCAGGACAGCTCTTGGCGTCACTGCTGCTTTGGGAATCGCGCCGATCGGCGTTCGCCGGCGTTACCACTGCTGAGCAGGAGTTCTCCTGAGGCTTGCGACGGGGTGTCCTGCCGGGGGTAACTGGGAGCCTGAGGTTAGGAGACCTTCAGACCCTGGTACACAAAGAGGTACAGTCTCCAAGGGCGGGGGAAGGAAATAACTACGGGATTCCTGTGGTTGTCGTTAGTTTGGTTAGGATTTTTTGTTTGTATGTAAAGATTCGCAGGTTTTAACTAAAGGCTGTCAATTTTAAGGGTTCTAGTCGCTAATTACAGCCTGTCACCTAAGGAAGTCTCATTGAGTGGTGTATGTTTTTGCGAATAACTTATCATAGTAAGAGGTTAAATTTCCGGACCAGCACAAAACAAATGAAAAGATTGCCTTGGTTTGGGCATTCAAAACTTTTCTGGGAACTCGGGGAACTTATTTCATTTAGCTCATCGGAAGTTGTAGTAGTCTGTCACAAATCCTTCCTCCTAAAGTCTTCTAATTACGGAAAACTGCGATGTGATTGTTTTTATCAACTATACTTGTATTCAATCAGCAATCACGTCCTTGTATCTACTATCCTACTTTTTCTGTACATACTGATTGTTCTAGAGTTGGTCAGCGTTTACTCAGGTTTTTTTTAGTGAGTCTTCTGTGCTCCTCCTTTTTCATCCTTTAATTACAGCACTGGTTAAGTTGTGGTCAGACATCCAAGGGTACTGGAGAAATGTGAGCTTTGACATGGATTTAGAATTTATTCTGCTTAACTTCATGTGCGAGGTCTTCTTCTGAAGCTAATAATTAAGACTAGAAAGAAATTTGTAACCTGTAAAGAGCAATTATTTGTAACCTTTAGGGATTCAACTCCTTTTTGAGGACCTCATTGGTTCTTACTAGAAAAAAGCATATATAGGATTTTCAGTATGTTTTCCTGATATTTACAAATCCTAAATTAAAAGTCCTTTTATGGTGAGATTATTAAATTAATTTTTGCATTGTTTTTAGAAATGTCATTTCTGGATTAAATTTCAGCTCAAAAAGTTTTATTTATTAGACTGAGGATTCTGTGACATCATTTTATTCAATAATCAACTTATATTTTCCCCTTTGATTTAGTTTTGATTTAGTGAGATGTGTCTAGAACATTGGTAATAGTAAGTAAATCCTCTAGAACAAATGTGCCAAACCATCATGTCACATTTTGTCAAACATAGAATAGATTTTTCACTCCCAGGGAGTGCCAGCTGAGATTTGGGAGTGCCAAAGGTTCCAACTTGTTACCTCTTTAACTTTCTTTTCAAGGTAGAGTTAGCTCTATATGTAAGGTAATATTGTAGGGCTGATATTTTTAGAGACTAGACTGGGTTTTAGAATTGCTTTACAAAATTAGTACTTAGAAAATGATCAGAAAGAAAAAAGTTTTCATTTAATTGCATGCAGTTATTGTGAGAGACAGTAACTGAGACATAAATTGTGTTCAGTAGCTAAATGTAATCTTGTAGATTCATTGAAATAGACTTTTAATTCAGTGTTAACTTATGACTTTGGTAATAGCTGACATTTACAAGCATTGCTATTATTTTACAAAGGGGGTAACTTCAACACACACAGTTAAAGTGACATCACTGAAGTCAGAGCCAGGACATGGTGGTGGTGGGACTTAAACAGGATGTTAGCTGCAGACTGGTGTCCTCTATATATTGTATTGTAGTTGACTATGTGCATAAGTCATTGTTCACCTTTCCTTTTATATATCCAGTGATTGCATTCTATGTAAAATAGCTTTGAATAAAAATAATCTGCATAGTATGAATTCTAATCACATATACTATTGGAAAAAATATGTAAAACTTTTAAAGCAAGTCTCATTTGGGAAGTATACATCTGGTTTAATTGAAACTCTCATATTTTCAAGAAAATTAGTTACAACTTAATTGACAATCATGCATCCAGGTGAAACTATATCCACAGCCTTCTTAGTCATTTTATAAAGGTTGCAATGGGAACTTATTTAATTCAGTACTCATTTAATTAGATTCAGATCACACTGTAATTCTAGATCATTGTTGTAGTGTGATTTATTTTGTTTTTTACAGATGGAATTAAAGTCTTATGTTCAACACATTATGGGTTAAAAAGTAGAATTGCTTCAAGTGGAACATGAGTACTAGGACCAAGAAATAAACATCTATAAATGCTTAATTCAAAGTGGGATTTGACCCACTCAATCATTTTATGTTTTCATGAATTTGTCTCTTTCTCTTTCAGCAAGTGTTACTCATTAACTATTGTAGCCCTTGTACCTTTGCTCTTAAAGATACTAACATTCTATCAGTCGTTTTGTTTTTTTTTTTAAAGATTTATTTATTTATTCATACAGATGGGGCACAAGCCAGAGGTACAGGGTTGGTGAGAGGAGTCACCAGAGACAGAGTAAGGAGCAGAACAGGAAGATAGAGGAAGTACACTGCTGAGGGGAGCAGCAGACTGGCCAGTAGAGGTCTGCCACACCTTGTGGATCACTTCCCTGGCCAGGCCCAAACTCACACTGAAGCGGCTGTGGCCAGCTTGCAGTGCTGTGTCCCAACCCATTGCACCATCAGGGAGGGCCCAGTAGGTTTTTTTTTAATAGAAATTTTATTTTTGCTTTTAGGAATTATTATAAAGACATTTTAAAAATCTCCTATCCTAAAAGGCAGGGGGAAGTACACTGGATATGGTGATGGCAAATGGGTGAACTGATGGTGGGAAGCCCATGGGGATTACACCTGAGATGAAAAAGGCACAAAGTGATGTAAAAATAAACTATTATATTATTTAAAAAAAAAATCTCCTTTTTTTCCTCTGTTTTTTCTTTTTTAAGATTTACTTATTTATACATACAGAACTGGGGTACAGGCCAGAGCTGCAGGAGGTGAGAGGATTCACCAGACAGTAGGGAGCAGAACAGGCAACTGACTGAAATATACTGCTGAGGGGAGCGGCAGGTGGTCAGAAGAGGTCTGCCATGCCATGTGACTCACCTGGGACCGAACTGGTGCTGCAGTGGCTCTATTAGCTTTATAGTACTGTGCTTTAACCTGTTGTGCCAACAGAGAGGGCCCTGCGCTCTCCTCCCCTACCCTCCCCTGCCCTGCCTTCCCCTTCCCTGCCTTGTCCTCCACTACCTCCTCTCTCCTTACCCCTCTTCCCCTATTTCTTAAATAAGAAAAAATCCTTTAAACAGGTGAAGATTTTTAAAAAATATTTATTATTTATGCATATAAGAACTGGGGTGCTGACCTGGTGTGGTCAGAGGTAGGGGGCTGGTGAGAGGGCTCACCAGAGACTGACTGGGGAACCGATCAGACAGACTGATATACATACACTGTTGAGGGGACCAGTGGGCAGGACAAGAGAGATCTGCTATGCCATGTGGGCCAGCTGCCCCGGCGAGGATCCTGCTGTGGATAGCCTCATAGTGCTGCCTTTTAACCTGTTGTGCCACCAGGGAGGGCCCTAAATAGTTAAGGATTTAGAATCTATTTTTTTTTTTACCTGAAATTGGTCTTTGTAGCTCATTAATATGTCTGCAAATATAAACATTCAAAACCAACAAATCTGTTACCTCACGTGTACTAAGCAATTTTGAGTCCAAGAAAGGGTAAAAATCATAACACTTGATTGAAAAGGACATTATTTGCCTATTTAATGATGCAAGATGGCATAAGTTTTTTTTTTTTTTAAAGATTTATTTATTTATGCATACAGAACTGGGGTACAGACCAGAGGTGCTGGGGCGGTGAGAAGATTCACCAGAGACAGAGTGGGGAACAGAATAGGCTGATTGTGGAAGCACAGTGCTGAAGGGAGCAGCGGGCAGGTCAGGAGAGGTCTGCGGAGCCACATGGATCATGTGGCTCACCACTTGGGCCGTGATCGAACTCACTGAAGCAGCTGCAGCTAGCTTGCAGTGCTTCGTCCTAAAACCTTCTACCGCCTGGGAGGGAGCCAAGATGACGTAAGTTTTTTTTAAAGGAATGGGCAAATATGTTAATAGTATACACTAATGAAATGTTGTAAAGTTATAATATAGAATAATATTTTTCATAAGTTCTTACAGTAATATAGGCAAATACAAACAGTTAAGAGATTTTGTAGATCAGAGTGTATTGAATCATTAGGGCAATGTTCATGAAGGATCTGGGATTTTTAAATATAGTTATCACATTACATGTTAACTTATTTGGTAAGCACTATTTGGGTCTCTATAAAACACATCATCTCATTTGAGCCTCACAGTATTCCACTAGATAACCACTTTTTTAAAAAAAGATTTATTTTTATTTATTTATGCATACAAGAACTGAGATATAGACCAGAGGTGTGAGGGATGGGAGGGTGAGAGGTTTCACTAGAGACCAGACTAGGGAGCAGAATTGGCGGATTTTCAGAAATACACTGTGAGGGGAGCAGGAGAGGTCTGCTGTGCCATATAGTATAGCTTCCTGGCTGGAGATCCAATTCATGCCCCGCCCCAGTGGCTGGCAATAACTTGATAGTACTGAGACTTTAACCCCTGTACCACCAGGGAGGCCTCAAGATTGTTACTCTTACACCCATTTTGCAAATGTAGATATGGGCTCAGAGAAGTTAAATAATGTGTCCTAGATCTCATAAGTAGCAGAATAAATGTTAAATTCAAGGGGAGATTCCAGAGACCTGCTTTTACTCATGTGATTCAACCTCCCAACCCCACCTTTGCCCACCTAGTATAGTTTTTCTAAAATACATTTCTTTTTCTCTTCTTCATGTATTATAGTTACTTTGCCATTAATTATTTCTTTACAATATTAATTTTTTTTCTGTGATTAAAAATTGACTACCGAAACTTGTAGTAACATGAGCTTGGACTCTGAAACTAGACTTTGGAGTTCAAATCTTGACTCTTTCCTTTACTAGCATCTACAAACTATTTAATACTTTTGTGTTTTAATATTATAAACAATTTGAACACCTAAGACTCAGGGTATATTGTTAGCCTAAGGTCCTCTTAAAGGAAACCAATAGGAGATAAATTTCATCCTCTAAGTAAGAAAATTCACAAAACTGTTAGAAAGCACTAATTATATTTAAATATATGAGACTGACGGGCCCTCCC